GGCACGCCCATATACACAAAGGCACGCACGTGCACACACACACGCACAGAGGCACGCCCATATACACACGCACGCAGAAGCCGACGGTAAGTAACCAAATCCGGGTTTGAATAAAATGCACTGTTTCGTGTAAGTTATTTCGTTATCGTGTTTTTATTAATCATGACAATTATAGCATATCTCCTAATAAGTAGAATAAATGGAATGTTTTTAACACTCCTACCTGTTAGTTCTAATCACTGTGTGGTAATGGCTGCAAAAACAATCCCTTTCCCAAATTTATAGACAAAACACACAGATGGGATTTTCTTGCTGTTAAGATAAGCCACTTCTCGCTCTAATCTTAGTTCTATTCGTGTCTTGAAGCCAGAATGCTGCGATCTCTTGTATGTACTCCCTTTTGTGTACTGACACCATTGTTAGTTTGTGAACTTTTTGCTTTATTACAGTTGCTTTGCTTTATTACCGTTGCTTTGCCTTATTACCGTTACTTTGCCTTGTTACCATTGCTTTGCCTTATTGCTGTTGCTTTGCTTAATTTTAATTACTAATTATCATTGCTTTGCCATATTACCGTTACTTTGGATTATTACCGTTAATTTGTTTTATTACCGTTGTATTGCCTTACTACCATTGCTTTGTCTTATTTCTGCTGCTTTGCTTTATTATCGTTGCTTTGCCTTGTTGCCGTTGTTTTGCATTGTTACCTTGTTACCATTGTTTTGCCTTATTGCTGTTGCTTTGCTCTATTACCGTTGTTTTGATTATAACCTTTACTTTGCCTATTTACCATTGTTTTGCCTTGTTACCATTGCTTTGTCCTATTGCTGTTCCTTTGCATTATTATCGTTGTTTTTCCTCATTACCCTTACTATTCTTTATTACCGTTGCTTTGCTTTATTACTGCCGCTTTGCCTTATTACCATTGCTTTGCTTTATTACTGCCGCTTTGCCTTATTACCATTGCTTTGCCTTATTGCTGTTGTTTTGCATTGCATATATTGTTCGCTTAATATTATTTTTCTCTTGTTCTTTTTCTTTTCTCAATGTTGCTTTTGTTTATTGCAAACTTTGCCAATTCTGTTTGTTGGGCATTTCTAACAATTACATTTAACTATGACTAATTACTTTACACTAACAGCTTTTGGTATAATGATTACCTTTGTCAAGTTATTGTCAATTACTTAATAATAATAATAGTAAGAAAACTGCAGACTGCCTAGTGGATTCATGCGGTTTTTTAATTAATGTTCTCTCTATGCAAGACCCAAGAGCCACTGAGGGCAGAGGGTTACTGAATGAGCTTGTTGTATTAGTGGTAAGAGTAACATGTTTATTAGGAACTATGAAGATAACGGTTGATCCTAGATTTGAAGAAGTTAAGATTGTCAGGAAAGCATCCTCTTGGGAATTGGTTAGTATTTGTTCCTTTGAAGAATCTTCCTTCTAACTAATGGATCACAAAGGAAATAAAGATAAATTTGGGGAAATAGTAATTCTGTGTTCAATCCCCGGGTCGGGCAGTGTAGACTTAGACTCAGTGGAAACGTGTCAAGTGCTAAAAGAAATCCTAGACATGGGTAGTGGAATGAGAATAATAATTGACATACACCTGATGAAGGCTGGAGGGCACATCGACTGAAACGTCGTGATAACAACAACAAAGATGAGGACAATAGTCTTCGCATGAATAAGATAAATAATAGAAAGCAAATATTGTAAATAATAAAAAACAAATATTGTAAATAATAAAAAGCAACTATTGTAAATAATAAAAAGCAAATATTGTAAATAATAAAAAACAAAAATTGTAAATAATAAATAGCAAATATGGTAAATAATAAAAAAGCAAATATTGTAAATAACAAAAAACAAATATTGTAAATAATAAAAAGCAACTATTGTAAATAATAAAAAGCAAATATTGTAAATAATAAAAAACAAATATTGTAAATAATAAAAAGCAAATATTGTAAATAATAAAAAACAAATATTGTAAATAATAAAAAGCAAATATTGTAAATAATAAAAAACAAATATTGTAAATAACAAAAAACAAATATTGTAAATAATAAAAAAGCAAATATTGTAAATAACAAAAAACAAATATTGTAAATAATAAAAAGCAACTATTGTAAATAATAAAAAGCAAATATTGTAAATAATAAAAAACAAATATTGTAAATAATAAAAAGCAAATATTGTATGCTCATTCCAATTCAGTCGAAAATTAGGAAAAAAGAACCGAGTTGCGAACACTGGCACGAAACCTTCCAAGCAAAACCTTTATCAGCACACGGTGAATATATTTAGTCACATGAAATCCGTACCATGTGATATCCTCTAATCAACGCGTGTTAGCAGTTATGGGAAACGTGGCGCATTGAGATTACATTCCATCCAAAATCCAACATTAAAAATCAGGAATATTTTATTAAAAAAACAAAGAAGAGATTTATGATTTACTACGGCTCGGATTGAGGAATCGGAGAGCCGAGTTCGAATTCTAGTCAAGTCCATTACATTCACTTATGTACTAATACCCTTGGGAAATGTATGAATATTCTTCTCCCCGCCCCCAGTTATGGGTAAATAGACCGGGTTCTATAGCCTTACATGGCAACTGGTCTACCCCAGAAAGAAATGGCACCCTAAAAATCTGCCTCGTCAGTCATGTATCGTCATGATCGCCTAAGCGTGTATCACGCTTAGCACATAACTGACTGACTGATGTGATATCAATCCGCCGATGAGGCAGTAAATTCTGGACAGTCACTTCACAGATGAATAGGAGACTTGAAGCAACAGAGATCTGGTTCTTTCTATAGTGATTTTCCAAGCCCGGCTTACATGTGGCACAAGGCTGAAAGTATGGAGCACCTAGTGAGGATCGAACTCACTACTTGAGTAATTGATCTAGCAAGACAAGCTTTCTAACCATTACACCACGTCGAGGTGCTCTAAGATGTGGTTCTATAGAAGAATGCTGAAAGCACCATGGGTTAAACATATGAGGGCTGAGGAAGTTTTAAGGCAACCACCCCACCCCTAAGCTATAGCTGCAGAGAGAATCAGAAAAAGACAAAAAAAAAAAAAAAAGGAAAGAAAAGGAAAAAGAAAAAGAAAAAAGTAACAAATATACGATGGCCGTTCAATATTAGGATTAATTGTAGTGAAGAGGATGAACGATTCAAACGTGAAATTGAAGTCAAATTGAAACACAAAATACCACGGAAATATATATATATATATATCAATACCAATTAGCTACAGAGGAGGTGTCTGGTTAGCAAGGTCAAATTTCTGTTTTTAAACTACGAATTTCCCATGATTTCTTTCAGATTTGAGCGTTCGAGAGAAAGCATGGGAAATTTGTAGTTTAAAAACAGTAAACTCACACAGAAACGCACACACACACACATATAATGATGATGTATGTATATATATATATATATATATATATATATATATATATATATATATATATGTATAAAATGATGATATATATATATATATATAATATATATATATATATATATATTAAAGACATTTTTATTTATGTTTAACGTTGTTATTTTATAGATATATTTATGCTCTGTTTATGATAAACAGTATTAAATAACATTTATAATGTCCGATTTTCATATATTCGTTCATATTCGAACCTGCATCCTATACGGAACCGTCATATACGCTGACGTGCCTTAAATCCACTACCATGAACCTTATGGTAGATAAGGTCGAATTTACTGTTAAAAACTACAATCTTCTAGAATAGCATTCAAACTGCTCTGTAGATATGTCAAAATGACGTCATATGTTAGCCTTTGTATCTGAGGTTTAAAATTGTTTATTATTTTCCGTTAAAAAACAGACAAATACTAAAAAATAACAAATGTTAAACATAAATAAAAATGTCTTTAATAAAAAAAAATCGTCCATTTCTAACATATGACGTCATTTGTTTACATCGATACGCCAGAGCAAAAGTTTATAAAACCCTTGTCTACCATAAGGTTCATGGTGGCTCTGGTTAAGGCACGTCAGCGTATATGACGGTTCCGTATAGGATGCAGGTTCGAATCCTGTCTATGAACGAATATTTTCTAAAAATTTCTCGACATTCAGGCCGGTAAATGTTATTTAATACTGTTTATCATAAACAGAGCATTTGCTTAAATACTTGTATCTATAAAATAACAACGTTAAACATAAATAAAAAAAATGATAAATTGTCGGACCTCGTCCATTTCTTAACATATATATATATATACACACTACTACTACTAATAATAATAATAATAGTTTGGGAAAAACCTCAGATAGCTTAACTTGTAGATATGTCAAAACATTTGGTATCTGAGGTAAAAATTGGAAATAAAAAAGACAAAACTAAAAACATCAGAACAGGGCGAAACAAATCGTCCAGAGATTTAAGTCTTTAGTCCAAAGAAAAAAAAACCAAGCGAGTCGTAAGACTAAAACGTAGTATGCTTAATACGCTAAGTAGAGAGGGAGTAAATAAGATAAATCCTATACCTAGGTTTTACGTAAACGAATCTTCAGGATAAGCTGAATATATATATATATATATATATATATATATATATATATATATATATATATATATATATATATATATATATATATATGCTGTATAAATAATACAAACATGAAATAAATGACAAATGGATAAAAGAGAAATTTTTTAAAAGTCAAATGAAAAAAATTGTGGAAAAATGTTAAGAAAATTAATGACTTTTGAATATTGATTACTGTCAGGCATCTGGCACGTGACGCTGGGAAATAAATAGATAAAATGTCTACCGGAAGTTTAGCCACACTGCCTCTTTGCCTTCTACCCGAGTGGAACCACCAAACGAACACCCACCAGCCGCTAAAAACCCGGACCGCACGTTATTTTTCCAATGCAATTAATCATGGTAGCAACGCGACAACTCTCCATCTGCAGCATGTAAAAGTCTTTCTTGTTCAACAATTTAAAGGGAGAGCAAAGAAAACGACAAAGTGATAGAAAGGAGAGAATGAGAGTTAAGAAAGAAAGAAAGAAAGAAAGAAAGAAAGAAAGAAAGAAAGAAAGAAAGAAAGAAAGATAGGAAAATATAAATTGTCATTGAGAAATTCAACTGAGCAGGAAACAAAAATATCGAAATCAAAGGAATGTCAAGCAATAGAGAGAGTGGGGAAATATAAATCGGTTAAAAGAAAGAGAGATAAAACAAAAATAGAGAGAAAAGAGAGAGAGAAAAGAGAGAGAGAAAAGAGAGCAACTTTTGAGTGAGAATATTAGCAATGAAAGAAAACGTATAACGGGAAAAGAGAAATTTTAACATAAAAAAAGATACAACAATAAATAAGAGTGTAGGTGGTTAAAAGCACAGATAGATAGATATTGACAAACATAGATAGATAGATAGATAGATAGATAGATAGATAGATAGATAGATAGATAGATAGAGTGGGGGAAAGGCAGAGAAAGAAGGATCGAAAGAAAGATTAACTGAAATGTTAAAAAGAAGAAGTAAAGAAAAAGAAAGAAACAGACAAATGAGAGAAGTGAGGCCGAGAGAGAAAAGGAAATCATAAATGGTTAAAAGAAAGAAAATAAAGAAAGAAGAGAGGCAAACAGTACGAGAGAGGGAAATTAGAAGTTTAGGAAGAAAGAAATGGAAACTGGAGTTTGTTAAAATTAAGAGAGAAATTGTAATAAAGAGAGAGGTGGGGGAGACAAGATGGAAAAATGGCGGATTTGATTTTACCCAAAATTGGTTGATTTAAGTACAAGTTCAAGCTGATTATCAGAGTAAGCATGCTATCACAAAACTACTTTTAGATAAATGTTGACAGGCTGAGATAGATAGATAGATAGATAGATAGATAGATAGATAGATAGATAGATAGATAGATAGATCATGAACAGACATGTATATAGATATTGAGAGGCTGAGATAGATAGATAGATAGATAGATAGATAGATAGATAGATAGATAGATAGATATTGAGAGACTGAGATAGATAGATAGATAGATAGATAGATAGATAGATAGATAGATAGATATTGAGAGACTGAGATAGATAGATAGATAGATAGATAGATAGATAGATAGATAGATAGGAAAATACTCCGATAGATAGATCATGAACAGACATGTAGATAGATATTGAGAGGCTGAGATAGATGGATAGGTAGATAGATAGATAATGAGAGACTGAGATAGATAGATAGATAGATAGATACTAACACGCATAAAGAAAGTCTGGACAGTTTGTTTCTTTTCTGATTGAATGTTTATAAAATCTTGTAATGAATGAGTATAGAGAGCGCTGTGTGTCCGCGAGAGGTATATTACGGCCCTAATGATGTGCCTGCGTTTTGTCCTTGGTTGGCTTTTCTATTTCACAACCCGAGGGCAACGGAAGCCGAGTGAAGCGTCAAATATTAACTTACATGCTTCCGTAGATTTTCTAAGTGCGCTCACACGCAAATAAATGAAGGCCGAGACGCGGTCACATATTTCAAATATTTTTTTGCTTCCCCTTTTTTGGTTTTAGCTTTCATCGCTTTTAGTTTATGACTTTTTCTTTCCAGTTTTATTTTATTTGAGTGAATGCACTTCCCATGGTCGACGTACAAGTCTGAGATTCATCAAATAAGCCTCCTTCTCTCTTTCTCACACACACACACAACTTATATATATATATATATATATATATATATATATAATTATTCATTTAAAAAAAATTATAACATAAATATGTTATAAAATCACTACAAAAATTCAACATCATCACTTGATAAGACAGGTGTTGAAACAAAATGGCTATTTTTGTACTGATTTTATAACATATTTATGTTATAATTTTTAAATAAATAATTATATCTGCTCTACTCTATATTGAGCACTCTTTTAAGAATAGCAATTGTTGGTTATTGGAATTCAATCCGTATACACCAATTATATATATATATATATATATATATATATATATATATATATATATATATATATATATATATAGTGTTTTTTAAGCCAATATTGCTGGTTTTTCATTGGTTTGCTGATAGAGAGACATTTAAGGCAAGCAGTCGTTGTGGTAGAGTGCTCAATATCGAAGACAGAGATAGTGCGTTAATAGAAATATGAAAAAGTGTTTTCAATTCACTCATGCTTACTTCGAAGTTTCGTGTTCACATAGACGTGACTACTCGTCGGAGCGGAGTTGCACTGCTGATATTTCTCGATATTTTGTACTTATATATTGTGGTATGAGTGTGTTACTTTTTCTTTTCGCATGACGGGTGTTGATTGGTTGTTGACTTCTCTTCTTCTCCTTTCTTTTCTGGTATTTTTTATTCTTTATTATTTCCTCATCTTCTCCGTTGGTCTCTGGTTTATTGTTAATCTTTCGTACGGATTTTTTTTTCGTGTTTATTGGTTGAATTTTTCTGTGTGTATGTATGTTTGTGCGGGTGTGTATTTATGAATGTGCCTATGTATGTGCATGTATATCCTTCAAATATGCACGCATACACACCCCCGCACGTGTATGGTTGTGTGTTCGTGTTTGCGCTCTGACTGTGTATTTGTGCTTGTGTGTTTGTGTGTTTATATGTGTGTTTATATGTGTGCGTTTGTACGTTCGCGTTCCTATACGCGTAGTCTGGGTGTTAATAGTATGTATAGTTTTAGTAGGTTCTATTATTTATTTTTACTTAATGTGTGCTTGGTGAATATTGTATGTTGTTTTCTCGTTTTTTTATTTTTCTATTTTCGCTTTTTTTATATTTAACGTATGTGTGTTTACGTTTTGTAAAGAGTGTAGTTGTGGTAGTTTGTGTGTGTTTTGGGTTTGCGTGTGTTTTTAGGTATTATTTTATTGGTTATTATTTTGTTAATGTTGTGAAGAAAGTGCGTGTTTTGCGTTTTGCACGAGGTGTATTTGTGGTTATTTGTATGTTGGCTTGGTGTGTGTTTTTTATGGTTGGTTATTATTTTATTAGTTATTATTTTTTGGGTATTGTTGATACTCGTTTTTTTTTTTTTTTTTTTTTGACCACTTAATTTAGGTCACAGCTGGATTTTTGAGCGGTTGTGGGTTTTTGTATGTGCCCAGGTGTATACAAGTCTGCATGCACACATACATATAAACATTTGTCTGCTTGCGTGTTCAGGTGTGCGCGTATAACTGCGTATTAGTGTATGTTTATCTGTGTGCGTTTGTACGTTCGCGCCCCTCTGCGCGTAGTTCTTTCAATTAACTGCATGTATATTTTTAGTAGATTGTATTATTGATTTTTACCCAGCGTGCGCTTGGTGTATACTGTATACTGATGTATGCTGTATACTAATGTATATTGTATATTGTTTTCTTGTGACTCTATTACGAAGGCGCTGGTAAATAGGAAAAAGTCTTCAAAATAAACTGTAAAACAATAAAGAAAATGATGCTTTTCGATAGACTGAAAATATATTGATAAGAAAGACAAAGGTGAATCGAGGGAGAGGATTTTCTACTTTTCTACCCCCACCCCCAAGACACCCCAGTGTGCAGTTGTCGGCGACGACTAGCGTAGAAGCCATCAGTACATGGTCATTTTAATCTAAAGTGATGGTATTTTTCTTAAGTGCACACTTGACCCGCGCAGTAGAATAGATTACATTTTAACGACTTCAAGTATCCACGATAGCTAGGTACGGATCTGAAGCAAAATTCGGTCAGTTGATAATACTTGGAAAACAGGAATGGCATTGTAGTTATATTTCTCTTTCGTCTGCCTATGACGCGATAAAATTTATTAAGAGGAATTATCTCTTTTTGTCACTTCTTGACCAAACATCTGGCGTGGAGAAGCCACATGTAAAGAATCCCAGATGCAGCCGACCACACAAGGATGCGATAAGAATTTCCTGATGGAAAATTTGGATGATAACTGAATTTAGCATTTGGGGCTAAGACCACGGCTAACCTCAGGCACAGATAGAATTTCAAGAAAGACGGAGAAATCACCTGCATCCATCGGGCGGTGATGGTGAGAGACACCCACACGAGATGGAAGGGGTTAGACGGATCGATATTTTGCCACCACGACTCTTCGGGAGAGAGATCTCCCAAATTTGGTCAGGCAAACAATTTCCCAACCACCTCGCTGGGTTTGCGAGAAGGCCCATAAGTATAGATGAGCGAAACGAGAAGACAGTAAGGGGGAAGAAGAAACCAGACAGGCCGAAGTGCTGTTTGCGAGAGAGACATGTGCCAGTTGGTTCAAGACCCGCTTTGCCAAACCCCGCGTGGATTCTGCAGAAAGAACTTAGATTACGGCCTTGTTCCAGACTACCAAATACATTTGAATGATCGGCCTTGTACCATTTTACCAAGGGTGGCTAGACATAGTGGGGTATTACTCTTAATAGGTGATGAAAATCTTCATGCTGTTAATCTAGTGAGTAGAATGTTCAATATATGAACTTTTGATCTAAAGTTGTTGTGTTACACATCTGTTTCTTACTTTGTTCCTTGTGGCGTCATCTTGCCAAAGCTACCGGATTAGCGACGTTGAGTATACAACTCGGCCTTCGATCGCCCTGTGATCTTAAACAAACAAAACGTGGGGTAGGGTCGGAATTGAAGATCGAACAACTAACTCCAAGGCTGGTAGTAAGGATCGACCACGGACTCACCCGGTGATTCAAGACAGGATTGCGACGTCATATGCTCATTCGTTATTATTTTTCTATTTTGTTTATATATATATATATATATATATATATATATATAGTGTGTTTGTGTGTGTGTTTGTGTGTGTGTATTTTTGCGTTTTGTAAAGAGGTATTATTTTTTGGTTAGTATTTTGTTGATTTTGTGGATGTTGTGAAGAACCCGTGTGTGTTTTTTTATGCGTTTTGCAAAAGGTGCAGTTGTGGTGATTTATATGTTTGATTTTTGTGTGTTTTATATGGTTGGGTATTATTTAGTTAGTTATTATAGGTTGATATTGTAGTTACTATATTCTGTATGGATGGTGTTTAGGATTTGTATGGATTAGATGTTAGTATGGTAGTTTGCGTTTGTGATTGGATTGTGTTTTCTGTTGTATTTCTATATTTGTATTTAGGTATCAAAGTAGATGCCTGTGTTTCCCCATTATTTCATTACTCTTGTTTAGTAAGCTTGATTCTTAAAAGTGATCACTGTTAATTTTTCTTCAAGGCACAATTTACTGTTTCTGTTATTGTTATTGTTTGGGGCTGCTTTTTTTATATAATGTTATTTTATTTGGTTCCATTCAATTTTTTGTTTTGATGTTTTATTTTTTGATGATTAATTAAATCTTTCTTTAAATGTTGTTCCAGTTACCATGTATTGTTTTCTTCATATGTTTCTTATTCGTTTTTTAATAGTGTATTGTTGGTTGTATTTTTCGGTTTTGTTTCGAAATTGTAATTTGTTGATTATTTATTAAATTATTTCTTTAAATGTTGTTTCTCTAGTTTTTGCTACCATGCAAAGTTTTTTCCGTGGACTTCCGTGTTCGTGATGTTTTGACTAACGTACGGTCGTTTTTTAAACAATGTATTGTTGGTTTGTTAATACAGTATTTTTTTTTCCAAAAGTATAGAAGAAAAGAGAAGATGTTCTTGTTTTATTAGAAAAAGAAATTGATGACAATGACAACTAACCAGGTGAATTAAGTTGTGGTTTTGCTGATTTAAAATAATTAAATGATTGATTTTTATTAGTTACAATCGTTTTTTTTATTATTGTCATAGAAATCTACGAAAATACGGTTTATATCATTTTATATTAATTTATTATTTTATATTAATAGTATTTTTTCGTGTTTCTATGATTCAAAATTCACGAAAAAATTTTCCTCAATAAAAAAAAAAACAAATTCATCCATTCAAAACCTGTTCTTTATTAATTAATTAATGAAACAATAACTTTTTAAACGTGGTTATGTTTATCTATTCGTACTACTACTACTTTTATCTCTTTCTCTCGGTTGACAATCATCAGTTTGTTTGTTCTTTTATTTCAACTTGATTTTGGCTACAGAAAAGCGAGATTTTGATTTTATTATGTTTTCTTGGTTGGGGATTGAACCAGGGATGTTTTTTCCGTTCAAAACAGCATCGTTGTATTATTCCCAGATATATTTATGAACTTTTGATTTTATCGAAACTTGAATAGATACTCTAGTATGTTTGCAAAATCCATTTTGAATAACATTTTATTGGTCGTAATGAGTGTGTCCCATCTCCGCCCCTGATATGTATTTATATTTTTTCGTTTTGAATATTTTTCTCATATTATCCATGCAGTTGATTTTTATAGTATTTTTGGAATTTTGTTGATATTCTTTTTTTGTTTTTTGATTTTATTGTAGGTTGATGTTTGATTTATATACTCTAGTAGTTCAAATAGTTGCTCAATGTGGGTCGTGTTTTTATTTTCGTTGAATTTTTTTATTTGCGTTTGCTGATATTCTTTTGTTTATGGATATGGGTTGTTGTTTGTTTTTTCTTGATGTATATAGGTTTTGTTTGTTTCTTGGTTTGCTGTTTAGATTGAATGTTATATCTAAGAAGGTGACTATCTTAGGTCAGATTTTATGTGTATTTAAAATCCGAATGTGTTGAAGGTTCTATGACCAGTTTTCATATTTTATCTGTAGTTCTGCCGTTGCAATTTCGTACGATTATCAGGCCGGCGTCCTTGTCTTTTTGAATAATGATGTGTGTTAATATTTTGGTGAGTTCGCATATTTCTGCGCCGTGATAGATGCCCATTGTTACGTCAAAGATATAATCGTCATTGACGTTGTTGTAATTGTTGTTATTTGCGTTTTTGTTTTTTTGACAATATTTTGTTGTCGTAGTATAGTATTGACTTAAGTTAAAGAGAATACCAAACATAAACCAATAACAAAATACACAAGAAACAATTATTTGGCTTCATAATATCACCAACAAAGAATGTTTCCTTCATACAACTGGACATAAAAGACTTACCCATATATCAATGTAAACACTGTACTAGATCTAGCGAAATATATATATATATATATATATAATATTAGTGGTCAATATATATATATATATATATATATATATATATATATATATATATATATGAATTCCCAAGAGGATAGACTCAAGTAGAACTCAATGTCCAGGACAGAGTAAAAATATGATATAAAAGGCTCAAACACTAATATTCCTAGGTTATGATTTATTACATTGGAATCGTAATCACGATCCAATTCATAAGACATTTAAATTCATCATATATATATATATATATATATATATATATATATATATATATATATATATATGATAATACGAGTAAAATTAAATATATATATATATATATATATAAATAAAAATATATATATATAAATTCAAAAAAATATATATATATATAAAAAAAATATATATATATATAAATATATATATATATATATATATAAATTCAAAAATATATATATGATTAAATCGAGTAAAAAAAATTTTTCACTTAGCTGATTGATGTTACCTTCAGCATCCCAACTCCAGAGTTTCGAAGACGCACACGTCCGTTCACTCTTCAGGGGATATCAGCATTTGGCAGCTTATACTACTCGATTTTTCGATGTTAAGAAAGGGGATGGATTTTTATTAATTAATCCGACAGATTTGTATTGCTTAAAGGTTATTTTTAGTGGATACTCATATTTGAATAGACGCTCCGTTTATTTATTAAACTGCATATTTATTTATTTTCGTCTACCGGCCTGAATATCCGAGAAATCTTATTATAGAAAAATATGCACTCTCCGGCAGGATAGGAATAAAAAAAATGAACGTTAAAGTAATTGTATATATATATATATATATATATATATATATATATATATATAATGCCATCAACACTTGGCTTGAAGATTGTGTTCTAATATGAAACAAACTGGCTCTACCACTCGGTAATTATTTCAGAGTCCACTTTTATATTTATACTAGCAGCATGGCCCGGCGTTGCCCGTGCTTGATTCAAAAATCGTACGACTCATACAGCAATCGCTATCACTTGACTTAAAATATTTTTGCCCTTCCTTGCCTTTAAAGGAGTGCCCTTTGCCGTGCTGATGTTGCTACATGCCTTACTTCTTGCCTATCTCACACTGCGAATTTTTTCTAAGCTCTATACTAAACATTAACTCTGTTACGAAAAAAGAACTAAACAAAATGAACACAAAACGATCAGCTTTAAAAAAAAGGACTCGTAACTGGAAAAACCGAATGAAAAAAGAATGTTAATAACAAATACTTTTTCACACCCACCCAACCCAGTTCTGCGGAATCAGAATCAACATTGAGTTTAAGCAAATGAATGAGCCAATTGAAATAAAATGTCATGCAGATTTAAATTTTCCCACTTGTGACGAATGCAGCTATCGATATTTTTTGTATGCTAGCATACTAGTTAACATTCGTGTCAGTCAGCTCGCATGCTGGCCAATAGAATCTTCCTGCCTATTCGTGGCAGCCAGCTATAGGCTCTCAATCTGGCTAGTACAAAATGACCGCAAACTACATGAAAACTGCCGTAGAAGCATGAAAAACTCGATTATTTCCACTATCAATGAAAGTTGGGAAATGCAAAGTCGGTCTTGGGCTTCCCGCTAACTTGGTGCATGTGCATGTAAATTTTGGTGCAAATCCGTCAAACATTGCGACCGTGCATTCGTTACACACACACACAGATCCTGCCTTTTACAGATAGCTCTACTCCTGATAGTGAGCACTTTTACTCATAAGTATAGCTTACCTTAAAACTCTATTTGTTTCGTATTTGTTTAAGTATTTGCAAATGTTTCCATTTTTTATATTTAAAAAAGAGATAAAAAAACGGTTTTATACTGTTTAATATCTAGCTTACAAATAAGTTAGGTCGCTGTAAAAGACAGACATTTATGTAGGTAACTTCACAGAAACGCGATAGATAAGGTCTAAAATGAATAAAAAATCTTGAAACTTTTATTTTAGTTTTAATTTCAAACTAAGATATTAAATTTGATATTTCTAATAAGAGAAATACTTTGCTGTATTTCAAAACTAATTTAAATTGACTGGAAGGAAGTTTTCGTTTTGAGTTCGCTAACCATCGCTGATTTTAGCGCCATTTTTAGATATTTATTATCACAATATTATCCTGTTTATTAAAAAAAATCTTTCAAAACATAAAATATACTTTTCTGAAACTTTGTT